CCGGGTACGTATTTACTTATGGTAACACCGCAATCTCATGGAGATCTATGAAGCAGACATTGACAGCTACATCATCAAATCATTCGGAGTTAATTGCATTATATGAAACCGGAAGAGAATGTGTGTGGTTGCGGTCTATGATTCAACACATCCAAAATGAATGCGGTATGAAGCCTATTACTTGTCACCCGACTGTGATCTACGAAGACAACACTGCGTGCATAGCTCAAATTAAAGAAGGCTACATCAAAGGAGACAGAACGAAACACATATCACCAAAGTTCTTCTCTACACATGATCTGGAGAAAGAAGGGACGATCAACATTCAACAAATCAGATCCAGTGAAAATCCAGATGATCTCTTCACCAAGTCATTGCCCCCGAAGAAGTTCATAGAACTTGTACAGAAAATCGGCATGCGCCGCCTTCATAATTTATGCTAAATTCAGGGGGAGTATTTGAATGCACTGCACTCTTTTTTCCTTCATCAGGTTTTTATCCCACTGGGTTTTTCCTGATAAGGTTTTTAACGAGACAGTACATCCAAATACAACGACATTATATGTCGTAATCTTTACCCCTTAATTTTCACAAATAAGTTTTTAAAATAACAAATACATATTCAAGGATGAACATTCAAGGGGGGGTGTTGTAAATTCCTGAGAATGACAAGTGTGAATTGTTCATCCTTGTCATCAGGACACTAATCCAATTCAAGGCCTTGTAATAGACAGATGGCTAGGTTTAATTCTACCAGCAAAATATGTAGAACTGTTCTTTGATGATTCATCACCAAGCTCAGCTAGTATAAATAGGGCTTGATCAATCCTTTGTAATTCAATTCAGATACTCAGAAATTTCAGATATTAAGAAGAAGTAATTTAGAAGTTTTTATCTATATATCTATCTCTTAAATTTAGTCTTCATCTTCTTCATTTCACAACACAATTCACTATGTGGCGAGAAAATAAAATTGTTGTACGGAGGAGTATATGTTATGTGTAGTACGTCAGGAAGTACTCCTAATAAAAATTAATTTCTCGCTGTGTGTTTTGTTTGCGTAAATTCACTTGTTGTAAAAAGAGTACATAGACAAAGTGCACTATATATTAATATAAGACCATTTTATGGCATACTTCATTCGTTGTTTTTTAATTGCAACAATCTACTTTTCACGCTTGCCAACATTTGCCAACACACAAATTTGACCATTAATATCTTTCATTCCTTATTAGTAAAAAAAATCAGATTTTGCAATGAGAGGAATTTAAAAAATTTTAAAAAAATTTAATTCATAATACATTAATAAACAATATATAGTCAAAGTAGAATATGTGAATATTGCAAAAAGTTCAATGTTGCAATTAAAAGAAAACGGAGATAGTATTAGATTAGATTGAATCAAACTTAAACACAAAAAAAAAAACTAGTTAGACCACACCTAATAGAACACGACACAATAAAATATAATTGGTTGAAATAGAACTATTAAATCATCTACATTCTGTTAAAATTGTTGAAATAATGACGGCAATAATAGTATGAGCTTTTGAGTTGACAAAAATGGGACTTGATCTTGAATTGGACAACAAAGTGATTAAGGGACTGTTTACTTTTTTTGTCATTAAGTTCTGTCTGGATTAAGATGTCTGTCTGTATTAAGACGTCTGTCTGGGTTAAGTGACACTAGCATAACAGACTGTTTACTATGTGTGCTGAATGTATAGTCTGAATCATATTAAATTACCAATTTATCCTTGTACGTGCATCTTCTTCTTCCTATATACAAGTACATTTCTCCTAATTTTATACTTTCTGGGTCAAATCATCCACACAATTATTTAAAAACTGTTTTGTTTGTATCCGAATTTATACTCCTTTAATTTGAAACTATAAAGTGGGTTGAAGTATTTTTGTTTTTTATGAAGTACTCCGTATTTATCCTAAATTTATGAAGAAAATTGCCTCCCTTTACGATTCCTTTACGATCTCAATTGGATGTAAAGAAGGACTCCTTTATTATACGCAAACTAAAATTCGGCGTATCTCGAGTATATTTTCAACAAAATTGAAGCTAATCGCATCAATTGTATATAAACAAACTCTTTAATGTATAAAATCATAACAAATACGGAGTATAAATAATTTAGAGAATACCTAGATGAAGAAGGCAGGGAATAGAGCTTCGGTCGCTATGGAATGGATTCAAGGCAGAAGCGAAGAAGAAGGCTCTAGTGATTTCACTGCTGAAGACAGTGAAAAAGCAGGCATGTGTTGATGAAGGCAACTATCAGCGTAGAAGCAGCGACAGAGAACTCAGGGTAAAAACGAGATGCTCGTAAATTAAGATGTCTGAAAGCTAAGGACTACTAATACGGAGCTGAGCCGATTAAGTCAGCAATGTCTGAGCGAATAAGTCGGGATTTATATTAAGTCCCAAGTAAACAAACCTATATAACTGGACGGATAAGTTACCATTCCCATTAAGCCCGTTAAGTCCAAAGTAAACAGGCCCTAAATAAGTAAATATTAGTACTAGACTGGTATGCCCTTCATCTCCGTAGCCCTCCCATCCTGTCTGCTCACAATCCGCACCAAACACCTTCTGGTGGAAATTCTGGAAGTCGCACCAAACTCTCCCGATGGCGCTCGTCTCTCCATAACTGGCGACTCATCCATCCGACATCTGGTACAAGCGGCTCCACTCCTTTCAACTCCTCCGTGGCGACTGCGGTCGCCCATCCATGTCCGTCGGTCTCCTCTTCCTCTAGGATGGCTATGGAAGACGCCGGCGGTCAATAGAAGATGACGATATGATGGGAGCCTACGACTGCTGGTTGCAACGATTTCTCTAGCCGATGCTCTTCTTCATCACCATCGCTGAATCTAGATCTAGATCGGTTATTCTTCTGGCTATTTTTCTCCTTCATTTTCGATTAAGTTTGTAACGATAGCGATTATCATCTTAGGCAAAGGATTTGGACATGCTGTCGAAAGGGGTTGGGAGAGGAGAGGGACGAGCCTAGGCTGGGCTGGGGGCAGAGCATTAGAATGAGAGGTTGGGGGATGGGGCGTGGTAGTGCCGGAGGGGCAGGGGTTGGGGTCAGTCCCGGTGAAGCACGGGAGGGGGCTAAGGCGACCTAGGGAGACGGCTGGGTGGCGCAGGGAAGGGGGCTGTGGTGTGGTGTTGGGGGTTGTGGTCACCGGCGGTGGTCGTCGACGGTGGTTGCTGGTGGTGGTCGAAGGTGGTGGTCGGAGGTAATCTTTGTCTAACGGTAAATGGTCGCACATGGTAACTTTAATTGGTCAAATTAGATAAAACAGAAAACTTTAATTGGCGTATCGATTAATTGTAACTCGTAGGTCAGATAACTATAACCGGAAGGCGGGTAAATGTAACTGGCCGAATCGGGTAGTTATAATTGGTCCGGTCGGGGAGTTGTAACTGACGATTTGAGTAATTGTAACCGGTTCGGTCAAGTAACTGTAACTAGTTGGATAAGGTAATTGTAACTGGTCGGATCGGGATAACTGTAACTGGTCGGATTTGGTAACTGTAACTGATCTGAATATGTAACTCTGACGGGTTAGATCAGGTAACTGTAACTGGATTGGGTCTAATAATTGTAACTGGACAGATCGGGTAACTGTAACTAGTCAGGTCAGATTGGGTAACTGTAACTGATCAGGTCGGGTCGAGTAACTGTAACTGGACTGAACATGTCACTGGGGTTGTAGTAATTGGAGTGATAAGCAAGTGAGGCGGTAGTAAATGAGATCGTTTTCACACAAATTATAGTGGAATAAATTAAATATTTAATACACTTATATTTCCATATTCAATTGCATAGTCCCTCTCTTTTTTTGACCAGAAACATAGTGCCTCTCTTGAGAAAGAAGAAATAATTTTAAAATAAAAAAGAAACATTAATGATTATAGAAGACATTTTAAAGTAATACAATCTCACGCAGTACAAATACATTACGGACTACGGAGTGTCGAAGTAAAGCTACACGGACGCATGATTAAAAACTTAGAGGGTAATTTAGGAAAATAGGTATTTATTAGTCTCATTTTTGGAAATTAAGAAAAAGTCTCTTTTTGTCCATTACCTATTTTTTAGTAATATTCATGTCAAAACCACAAAATTGTTCCATCTTTTCTTTTCAATCTGTCCACTAAAATTATCTCATACATCAAATTTGATAAAATTTGTATGATTTTAAAACATGCTTACTCTATCTTCAATATCGATAACATAAACTCGTTTTTTTAATAACTTCGTTATCTCTTCATATTACAATGTTTGTGGAATGTTGATTCAGATGTGACCACATCGAAGTATCAACTAGAACATAACGCGATAAATTAAAATGGTTTAGATTTGAGTCATTTAATTTGACTATAAAATAACAATTCAAAAGAAATGTCCCTTATTTCAATAGGCGAGCGATGGTCGTCAAAAACTGTGTTCAAATTTTCTAGAGAATCCAACAACCAAATGTCGAACTTATTTTGTTTTTTAACGAATTTCAACTAATTGCCTTGTTTCTCTAAAAAAACTAATTGCTTTGTTATTGCTTGAAAACTTTCATCTTCTATTTCAAATTTCCTCAATTTCAAAACTTAATACGGAGTATACTTCATATCAAGACTACATATGTGTGTGAATCTACAATCTAATTTAAAAACCTATGTTTAATGTTTTAGAAAATTGTGTAAATGTTATTAGAAAATATTATATGTACCCATTTACTCTCATATACTCGTATATTTTTCTAACTAATAGTATGATACAGGTGTGTAAATGATAAAGACGGGTACCGAAGTGTACCTATATGGGAATAAGTGAGCATTTTCATGGATTTGTATAAACAATAGTTTGTACCATCATTTCCATACATCACGCTCTTTAAACCCGCAAATTTGACATTTCAAGTTGCAATTTTGTTAGAACTTATAACCTTGATAGAACTTACGTGGCCGTTTGGAGGACATAAAATGGGCTTATAAGCCTGATTTTTGGAAAAAATGCCAAACACCCATAGATTTGGCTTCTTTGACTGATAATTATTATCAGTAGAAAAAACAAGTATATGGCTACTTTTTGAGCTGAAAAGCATTATTTTACGGTTGGCTAATTAGAAGACCATCTTATCCCTCTGTTAAATATACATCGGCAATTGCTCCCAGTTTTTCTACAGGTAAGCTCTTTCTCTTCTTCTTCGTTCTTTCCAAACCCATGTTGCTCCCAGTTGTTCCCATCATATATGATAATGATTACTAGAGGTTTTGTTCCTCCCCAGTTGTTCATACATCGATTTAGTGAGAAGGGCTATTGAATATGTTTTCAAATTTATGCTAAATATCTTGTTTAATACTCCGTATTACGTATTGCTCCTGTGTAATGTCTCCCTTAACATATTGCTTTTAGAGTCCAACATATTGCTTTTGTTTCTCTGGAACAATCTGTGGCTTCGGCAACAGTATAGAGTGATCCCCTTTAGAATTGAAATAAATTGGTACCCTTTATTGTAATTTCAGGCGGAATCAGCCATTTCAGCCACGATATTACCAAACACTTTTACTTCAACAATTTCAGTCATTTCAGCTCTTTCAGCCATTTCAGCAGTTGCAGCCATTACCAAACAGGCCCTACATATTATTAGGTATTATTTGTCATTACTTAATTTAAGCACTTTTGGACTTTTGGCTTTGAAAAAGCCAGAAGTAGTGTTTGCAAATGCAAGATTCTTCTTAATTTAAGTACTTTTAAGCCAAAAGTCAAAAGCTGAATTGGGGATGCTTTTATCTGCTTCTAAGGCTTTTTTGTACCAGAACAAGCTTCCAACATAAAAAAATTCTCTTTCCACTTTCATCAATCACCATTAGAATCGCCTTTCCCTTCGTCCCCAAATCCTTACGATTTCTTCTTTTGAATGCGTATTTCCTTTGCAGCCGATCCGTTTCACCATCTCTTCACTGTTCCGCCGGGTAATGAAGGAGAAATACACATACTTCGATGAAGTGCTTCGCCGGTTCCAAAGACGCTCTGTTCCGCCGCTCGGTTCCGCTCACTATTCTGCCGGCGTGTTGGGGCATGCGTGAGAAAAGCGGGTTAAAAGGGTTGGTGGTCAATTCAGTATAGAATAATGTCAAATTTATTCAAAGGACATTTTTGAACTTTAACAAAATACTCCATTAAGAATCACTTTTTTATCAAACATTCCAACTTTTACCTTTTAATAAAAATCACTTATCTCCAAACACTACATACTTTTACTATAAATCATTTTTTCCAATAATCTCTTAAAAAATCACTTTTAAAAAGCACAAGCAATTGCAAACACTCCCTTACAGTTTACTACGTACGTCATTATTTCGGTTGCCATCATTATTAAATACACTTTTCAGCTAGTTAAATGATCTGTGTCCATTACACGAATACTAAATGAAAAATGCTATATAGACTATGGATTATGAAAACTTCATTTTCATAATCATTTCTCATTTTCTAAATACAAGTGATTAATGTCATTTTAGAAGTGTCCGTATTTTCCGAGCTTGGTGGTTATTTTAGAATTTCAAAGCGCTATTACTCTTATTTCAGACATTTTACTAAATAAATAAAGAAATTGACCGGAGGTATCCGTTTATGGCTTTCCGGATGTAGATACTACAAAGAGATTCACAGATGCAGGAATTGCGACTGTCTTCTGTTCGTGATTCTTCTGGCTTTGGATAATTTTCAATATTAAAAAGCGGTCATTGTCTCTCTAGTTAGGATTTTAGTTCTTCCGCTGATCTGATGGACTGGGCGGCTTTTCGATTCGGGGTTTTCTTCAGCGACGAGTTTTTTTGTGCGAACAAGAAACAGAGACAACAATAGTGAAAGGATGACATCATCGAGTAAAGGTCATGGGCGAAACTTGGGATTAAAAGCTGGAACAGATCTGGATTCAAAGTTATCTGTGATTGTTGGCGAAAGTTGAGGCTTGACAGAGAACGTGATGAAAAAGAGGCAGAGTGAGGAAGAAGTTACAGTACAGCCGGCTCATCCTCCTCCTGAACTGCCACCGGTGTATCAGAAACAGATAGGAGGTTCCGGAAAGTGGTTGGAAGTGATAGTGCTCTGGAAGAAGGAGAAAGAGTTTTATTTTATTGTCTTTTTGCTTTATAATTTCTTTGATCATACAATTTGCTTTTTCTTTTGGTATGTTTTTTGTTGTAAGACTGTGAATTTGGATGTGGGTGATGGAAGGATTGCGGTAATCGTCTTTGGCTCAGTTGCGCCCATTAATGGATCAGCGAGTTATATTGCTTCTGTCGAGCTGGTAAACTCTGAGTTTGATTCGAGGGTCGGCGGTTGTGAGTAATCTTTTTTCGATTTACCTACTTTCTGAATGATGTGTTATCAATTTAACCTTGTTTCATTCATACACAAAAATAAAAATAAAGAAATTGACCTAAATAGAACTAAAACATGGTCTAACTTCCTAATAGGACTATAAGTTTATTATTCCCTAAATAGGACTCTCGATTACAATTTTACCCCTTCTATCTATTTATATATAAGAAAAGAGATAGCTCTTTAAAAGACATTTGTGCCCTTACTAATGCCTATGTGTTCCCTCTACCGCATTTCTCTCCATTCACACATTTAGGCCACGTGGCTTGCTAATGTTTTTGCTTGCTTTTTCTCATTCTCAATTCTCATTCTCAATTCGTATCTCAACAAGATTTTTGAACGGCGCTGCTTCATCGCAAAAAAAACTGCATCTTTCCATCTTTATTCTGCGCACTCATCTCGCCCAGCAATGCTAACGCATCTCTCCCGGCGACTTCAACGAGCTAATTGCTTACATTTAGAATTCCACATCTCTAATCGTATGCGACAATATAGCGCCCAGCTGGGGCTCCGCCCAGCTCTTCACCGAAACTACTATGAGACCTCCCAATACCACCTCCACCATATATAGATGCAGATACACAATAGGGCTTCATACTCTCACTCCCCAAGAAGCAGAGGTACTATCTCTAATCTAATTCTTCATATCTCTAATTCATCGTTCTCTAATCTAATACTCTGCTACGTAATGTTATTTCCTTGGCTGTATAGAACAATTCTTTTTTTATTACATGTCGTGACTGCTTCTTCATAACAAAGTATGTCATAAGATTTCTCTATAAAAAATTAAAAATGCTCTTTATTTGCCAAAATGCTGCTCATTGTGATGCCGAACAAACTTTGTACACAGATTGTTGTCCCACTTCCAAGTGCACAATGGTAACGCATTTATGTTACCAAAAACAGGCTTTATGGAACAATTCTGCTTAGGTCTAAGATGATTTGTCTGAGATAATCGAATGCCAATTTCTGTTAAAACAATATATTGTTGCTTTTAAAATATCTGTTTACTTCTGTCTCAGGTTTAGTTTTCTACCACATCAAGTCAGCTTTGCAAGAACAAACCTTGGGTGCCAAGTAGCAGAGGTACTCTCTACTTCTTCATTTCATCTGTTTCACAATTTTCTGTGAAAACAACTTCAGTCCCGCTTTGATTATATTTTTAGGATTGTGGTGCTTCATATGTCTGTTTTTTAAATATAGAAATTTAAACGTAACTTTCAGATCAGATAGAATTTAAACAACTTCAGTCCCGCTTTGATTATATTTTTAGGATTGTAAATCTCATTGTTTTAGGTTGCTTTTAGACACATTTTTGCTTCAGTGACATAATTTTGAAATCATGTGAAAAATTATCTAGCTCCATTAGAAAATCCTTCATATTGGTTTCTGTATTTGTCAATTCTATGTTGGTGGTGCTTCAGTCCATCACTCTTTATAGTGTTTGATTAAATGTTTACATATGTGATCTAAAGGGTCATTTGTATGTCACTGATATTTCAAACAATCAAGTTTATTTCTTTTCTTTATTTGTTTGAACTGATTGTTCCCTTAATCTTATTAGAGCACTTTGTATAAGTTCTGAATTCATATGTTGTGCACATATGTTTACGTAGTTGCTGCCTGTTTTGTTTACTCTCTGAGCATTTTAATCCTTTTACGTTTGTATTATTGTATAGCTTAATTTGATATTTACAAGTCCCTTGACATTAAAATATGTTTACTTTCGTGTTCAATTAACATCTTGAACTAATCCCAAGAACAGTTCAAATTTATGAACGGTTTGTGCATTCTAAATTTCTTAAAACTTGGTTTCAAACAGATTGGTTTCAAGCAACATTCAATATAGCAAATTAAAGGAACTTATATGATGTAAAGGAACATTGTGTGTTACAGATATCTTCACTTTAACAACTGTTTTCAATGATTTGTTTGTCTATATTAAATGCATTTTCCAAAAAATCGCCATTTTTTTCATACAATTTACTCATATTTGGATTTCTTTTTGTAATTGGCCTGATTTCTTTCTGGATACTTTATAGATATTTCTAGGTCCAAAATTTGTTCTCTTTTTTTGTTACATTGCCAATCCCAAACTTTACTTATCCAAGTTAGTTTCTATTTTCTGCAGATTTTTCCTTCAAGTCTTTACTCCTCATACCAGGCAACATAATTTTCTTTTCAGATTTTTTCCATCTTAATATTATTTGGGTTCATGGAAGTCATTCTCTTTCTATTTGTGTTTACACTTCTTTTTTATGTCTGTTTTTGTTGAACTACGAGTTCTACACTTGGCTATAGGATAGAAAGGTTAAGGGGCATTAGGATCTTATAAGAAATTGGACCAAATATGAGCAAAACACAAAGAAAAGGCAGAACTAGGAGCAGCCATATCTTATTTCTCAAAATAAAGCTTATTAAGTTCTAATGCCAGTATATTACTCATTGGTTCTTCTCTACATTGACTAACCTTCGTGATTGTCGAGGCTATCAAAAAAGTAATACCCTAAAGTTTCACACTTTTATAAGAAAAGAGCTAATTTCTGATTGACGAATAAATAGTGCTAATGTGGCTGCCAGGAAACTCCCGTTTAAGAGACATTGCCTTTCCTATTCTTTTTATCTCTTTTTTTTAGCATATTCTTTTCTTTGGTAGTAAATAGAATTAAGTTTGATATAACTAAAAGCCACTTTTTCAGAAGTCCAGGGTTGCAATTCTAATACACAATCAGGGAGAAGGGTGGCATCTATGATATTGTGTTTGTGGGTGGGTCCACCCGGATCCCAAAAGTTCAGGAAATGTTACAAGATCTCTTTCATGGAAAGAAGTTCTGCAATGGTATAAACCCTGATGAGGCTGTTTCCTATGGAGCAGCTTTTCATTATCATCTTTCAGTAGTGCCTCTTTGGGTGTGAATAAGGATGTTGTGCTGGTAGATGTTGCTTCTTTATCTTATAGTTTATTCATTCTTGGTGATGTAATGTTTGTTGGGATCCCAAGAAATACTATCATTCCTACATAAGAGCTAGAGATGTTATGTAACTCTGTTATTAAAAAGATGCAACATGAGTAGGGAAGTAAAACATGTGTCAAACCCGAGATAATTAAGATAGAGGACTAGCAGGTGCTGATGAATCTTGAAACATGGTTTTGTAAGGGAGTTTCTGAAATGTTCTAAACCTTTAGGATGGCAGATTGCCTATGCACTTTTATATGTTTACAATTTGATTAGCAGTGATTGTAGTCTCATTGCTCTGATGCAGTAAACGTACAAGTGTTTAACTTGCTCTTTTGTTCCAACAATTACTGATTGCTATGGTATTGTTTATAGTTTTTATGTCTGGCGGCTCAATTTTTAAAAGATGGGGTACCGGGACACATAGGCGGACCCACTAAGGGTCCCATGGGGTCTCAGGACCCCGTGGACTTCGAAAAAATTACTTATATACTCCCTCCGTCCCGAAAACAACTTCCCGGTTGGACTTTCACACACTTTTAGGAAATAAATTTGACTTTACTGTAGAATGCACTGTTTTGCACTGTTTAAACACTGTTTGGCACTGTTTAAACACTGTTTGACACTGTTTAAACACTGTTTGGCACTGTTTATCACTTTTTTGATGTAGATAATTTGCCAAATAAGGAAAGTATTAAAGTGTGAAGTTAATTTTGGGACATCCATTTAAGGAAAGTGGGAAGTTGTTTTCGGGACGGAGGGAGTATTATATTATATTTTATATAAAATTACTTAGGAAATGTATATATACCAAATACATGACTAAAGAATTGCCACACAGGAGTAGCGCAGTGGGATCGTGGGTGTGTTTTAGCCTTTCCATTGCGTGGAGGTATGGTGTTCGATTCTCTCCTGGCTCTCCCTTTTTCATTTTCCATGTTTTTATTGTTTCTCTTCAAATTAACCATTACGAACCCATATTTTATTGTTTCTCTCCTGGTATCGTTTTTTTGGACTAACTATTAAACATTCTTTCAATGTTAAGATTAAATTAATACATTTACGTATTTATAAATGTTATTTTCAATATTGTATGATTTAGAATGAAAAGATATTTCAATGTTGTACCTAAATTTAAAGAAATGCGGAGTGTCGAGAGTAGTTCAAGTATTAATTCAAATGATTTACCATTAGTAAATGAAGAATTGGATCAAGTAATTGTTGAAAGTGAAGCTAACTTGACTTATAATCTACCTGAATAACATGTTGATTTTGAATCTTTGGAAGCTGATCCCGTATTGAGAATAAAAATTGCTGATTTTCATCCTAATGTTCAACACAAGGTATGCCGTAGTTATCTTCAAAAAGAACTGTTTCAACCTTTGGATCTTGATATCCCCTTTAAGGTAATTGGTGGCAAAAAAACGTATATTCGTCTCAAGTTGGCTTGATGAGCATAAATGTTTCTTTAATATATTTTTTATTAGCTTTATATTCATTAGAGAAGGACCCCATGCCTCTGACTTTTTGGATCCGCCCCTGGCAGGACAGCTGGTGCTGGAATCAAATCAGTGTAGTATAATACTATAATATACTCCGTATTACTACAAGTTGCAATTATTAGTCATATAATTTGACACTTCCCTTTCAAGAATATTAAATGAAGAACATTAAATGAAAATGTCTAGACACTAAAATGTCATTATTAACTTTTTCTCAATCTTTCGGTGCAATGGACATCTCTGATCAATTTCATGCTTAAGTCACTAGATACTTATACTCCCCCCATCCCGTTGGAATGTTCCCGTTCGGTTTACGATGCTTGACTGACGATAAATCAACTCGATCCCTGTTCACACTCCGCTTATTTTTAGTAAAATTTACATATTCAGAAACTACATTAAAACCGCTACAAAGTCTGATAAAAAAAAGTTCAATTTGATAAAAATTTGATATATAAAGTAAAAGATTAGGAGTGACCTAAGTTGACCAATGAATAGTGAACAGGAACATTCCAACGGGACAGAGGGAGTAGTTTATTGGGGCATCTCTAATCAATTCCATGCTTAAGTGACTAGATACTTATAGTTTATTGGGATAACTGGAAAAATCTCTTTGCAAGAAGTTATTGAGTTAAAAGTTTACATATCTTTGCATTTGGTTATTATTTTGAAATTTTAATGTCTTAAGCAATTAGAAATATGATAAATTGAAAATGATAAAAAAATGTTGTAGTGTTCATTTTCTCTCTCATTAGCATTTCTTTTAGGTATAAGATAATCAAAACTAACAATTGGACGGGGAATTTTCTCTCTCTCATATGTAGTGTTTTTAGGTATAATAATAATAATACGAAGTAAGAAGATAGGCCGGCTAACAATTGAGCAGATAAACTTTCTCTCTCATATGTAGTTCTTTTACCGCTTTAAGTATTGGAATGTTTTTATTTGGACTGTTTTCAATACCAGATCACACCAGACTAAAATAAATCAGATCAGACCAGACTTTCATAGTTATAAAATACATAGAGACCAGACATTTACCAGAGCAGATCAGACCAAATCAGATCAGGCCAGACCAGACCAACAAATTTCGGTCCAATTAAAAACATCTTTACTGCGGAGTAGAAGATAAGCTTGCTAACAATTTAGCAGAGGACTTTCTATAAATGTAGTTCTTTTAAGTACTACGTATTAGATAATCAAACTAACAATATAATTGAGCAGGAGAATTTTCTCTATCATATATAGTGCTTTTAGGTATAAGATAAACAAGCTAACAATTGAGCGGGAGAATTTTCTCTCTTCTATGTAGTGCTTTTATTTTTCTCTCTTCTATGTAGTGTTTTTAAGTATTATTATTACTACGGAGTAGACGATAAGCTTGCTAACAATTGAGCCGCAAAACTTTATCTCATATGTAGTTCTTTTAAGTATAAGATAAGATAAGATAAAGATAAGCAGATTAATAATTGAGCGGGAGAATTATTCTCTCATATGTAATACTTTTCTCTAATAATTGAGTTGTAGAATTTTTTCTCTCTCATATGTAGTTTTTCTAGGTATTAGAAGATAAGCTTGGTAAACAGGAAATTGAGCGGGATATTTTTTTTCTCATATGCAATGCTTTTAAGTATTAGAAGATAAATTTGCTAACCATTGAGCGTGAGAACTTTCTCTCTCATATGTATTTCCTTTAAGTATAAGATAAACCAGCTTACAATTGCACAAAAGAATTTTGTCTCATGTATGTAGTGTTTTTAGTTATAAGATAAGTCACCTAACAATTAAGCGAACAAGATTTTTTTTATCTCTCATATGTATTGATTTTAGGTATAAGGAGATAACATTGCTAATAATTGAGCGGGATAATTTTTCTCTCATATGAGCTTATACTTTATGGTATTAGCTCATTGTACTCTTATTTTTCGAATGTAGAATCCTAAAAACTTATTTTTATTTTAATATTTAATTAGATCAAAAATAGAAAATATATGCACCAACTGCTCTTTCTCGTGCGTATGCACGGGTACTATACTAGTATTTAATTAAACCAACCGACAGACCCGGAAGTCGCGATATGAGATTCCTCAAATTGCTCTTCTTCTCCCATCGATCGCTACCTCCTACATTTAAACTATACGGAGCATTTGAACGCACACGCGATTTACGTAGTATATTCCTAGGTTTGACTTGTCCAATGAGAATGCCTCATAGAGCTAGGCCTATGACAGGGCTCATATTCGTTGGACTAAATGCTGCTTTGGTCACTGCCATAGAGCCTGTGTATGATTTTGAATGCTACTATGTTCCTCCCATACTGGGAATGAAGAGTACGCTTCCATTTCATCTCCTCCTCTTTTTATCTTCTTCTCCTCTCTTGTTTCCCGTGTTCTGCTTTTTTATTTGTATCAATTAGATTCTAAATAAAAAATTGATTTTGAAAATTCAGATGAAGAGTTAGGTTGGACAAATTTGAAAAATGTCATATTTGAAAAATGTCACTTTTATGATAGTACTATGACAATCTCAGTTTTCATTTTTTACATTTTGTCATATGATGTCAATTTTGTGACCCTGAATGTATAAACATGTCAAACTTTACAATCACACACTTCTAACAAAAACAAAATTGTTTGTCACAAAATGCATATATGTTTCATCTAAAAATTACGACGTACATGTTTACAAACATGAAAATGCAATGTCATATTTCTGTATAAAATATAAATATGCCATTACTAGGTCATTGTTCTTATTAACATGACATTCTCGCTGGAAGTCGACAAGATCAATCGAATGGGACATCGGTTTCATAACGAAACCTGGAGTTTTATATTGAAGGTTAATCTTGTACGTGACTCAATTGTCAAGCTACTACTCATTTTACATGATAGTCCTAATTTTACATTTTAGTCTCATTTAGAGAATTTAGTCATTTAAATAACACATATCGTATGATCATTTCCAAAAACCTTCCGTTCTATAATAAAGTGCACCTTTTTGATATTTTCTGTAATTATTTCCGGCAGAGATCTACATTATCTGTCTCCAATTTTAACATTTAGTGGCAGCACAAGTATTTCAGATAAGGAGTATATTACTTTCTCGTATAATAATGATTAAACATTACGGAATTTTTTTACCATATGGTACGGAGGTATTGAATTGTATTAAAATTCTAGTCTAATTAATTAATGAGATAATAGCCTTAAATAGGACTAAATTAATCCCTACATACACAAATAGGACTATATTATTTATTTTCTCCAAATAGGACTAAAAATGATATTTTGTGTAAAAAAACTGTCATTTTACTCTAAAAATGCCATGAGGATGGCATTTTTACTCTAAAAATGCCATGAGGATGGCATTTTTACTCTAAAAATGCCAAATTTTTTCTCGAAAACTGTCATCAAAATTGCATTTATGACACATGATGGCATTTTTTTCCGGTGACCGGAGCTAGTGGTTCCGGGAGGTTGATGAGGCGGCACCATAGACCTCCATAATTTTTAAAAATTGTTTTTACATTTTTTATTTATTTTATTTTTATTTTTTAAGGTTTTCGTTTTATGATTTTTTATTTTTCGAATTTTTTATTTTTTATTAGTTTTAAATAATTTTTATTTCGTGTTTTTTATTTTGTTTACATTTTTATTATAAATAAATTTATGTTATTACTTTTACTAGTAAATCACCCATGCGACGCACGGCCGGAGAATTTATATCCCATTTTTTCTCCTTTCAAATTGTTTTAAAAACAATCGCCACATAAGATTTATTGACAATAATACAAAAACTTTGGCGATAAGTTACAGAGTACACAATTCACGATCAGCCACAGTAATAAAATAATAAAGCACACCAAAATAATTCTACAATGACCTACAGGCATTTGTTAAAAACGGAATGGAGTGCAACGTTACACGTTATTGAAAACTTCCTTATAAACAACATTTTGAGTGGCATTCGCGGTCTTGCCGCTGTCATCACATATAAGAATTCTCAAACCACGCCTGTTGGTCAATCTTGAAACCGCAACATAGAGTTGTTCATGCGTGAACACTGGTTTCCTCAACAACAAACTCACACGGGACAATGATTGGCGCAGACTTTTATTAATAGTCATAGCATATGAAATCATAATGGGGTACTGTCGCCTCTGAAATTTAATTTGAAAGGCAAGTTTGCATCAGAGGGAGTCAAGGACAACCAAGGAATCAACACTCTCAACCAAAAAAAGACGCGGCAATGATTGTCTTTGATTTTTTTATTTATAGTCATGTTTAGGTATTATTGCTTCTGAAATTGGAATGATAAGCTAACATCTGAAATTGGTAATGAATGTTTGGGAATTGGCAGTTTCCGTCTCACACTAACTTCTTTTAAAATTCTTTCTTCTAATAGTAATTTACCCGCACGGTACACAAATGATTTTGTCAAAGAATTTCGCTTTTCAAAAGTAATTTAATTGAAGGTACACTATTTTAGCAAATAAGTACGAATTGCATTGTTTTAACGAATTGTCGGGGTAAACAGGCAAATCAGGGGGTGCAAATATGTGGAAATGAGTAACCATATTTGACATCTTGTGAGCATGGGCATGGCCTAACCAAGTTCAGGGGGCCTTGCATTTTAACAGGCTTTTCATTATTAGTCCATTGTTGTTAGAAAGTCTGAGGTCCAATAAAATGCATCCCTCACCACTCGGCTCCTCATTAGTCCATTCCATAGGAGAACCAAACCCTTCATTCATGTGGCTGACTAAGACATTCTCTCCATCCCACTACAAAGAAAATCAAAATTCCCTAACTTAAAGCCGACTAAAGCAAGTAGCGCAACGAAATTTCTCTAATCATTGTCCGTCAATGGTCTGCCAAAATCCGGAACCTCCAGCGACGAAGACATCGATGGTCCGCAGTAGGTCGCCGACTAATGCCGTATAGATCGATTTACATGACAACGGTAAAGTCACAACCCCTCACTATATGGTAGTGAAACCACCCGCCATAGTGAGGCTACAGATCAGGTAGATCCGTCGATATTGTTGATTACATTTTTTCTTCAGTCGTTTCAATTTTTTATATTTTCTGTCAATGAACTTTATATTCGATTATATTTTATCTACATAAAACATACATCTTCAAAAAAGTTTTTATTTGAAAATTTAATCACACACAAAAAGTCTATTGATGAGAGTCATGTATATGCGTTTATCAAAAATAAATAAATATCCCAAAATATTAAAAGTTAATTTTAATAATTAGATTTTGGAAAATCCGCACACAACCAACCTGAAATCTCTATATCCAAAACCACTAAGGGAGTGTTTGCAATTGCTTCAACTTTAAAAAAGTGATTTTTTAAAGTGATTTTGGGAAAAGTGATTAATAGTAAAGTTGGTAGTGTTTGAGAAAAAAGTGATTCTGAAAAAGTAAAAGTTGGTAGTGTTTGGTAAAATAAGTACTTTTTGTGTAATAGAAAAAGTGAGAAGCAGTTTAAAGCACCCTTCTACATGCTTCCAGCTTTTAGCTTTTAAGTGATTAATTTAAGCAGAAACTATCATTTGAAAACACTCTTCTCAACTTTTTTTAAGCCAAAAGCTGAAAAGCGCTTTTTTAAGCAACCCCAAACACTCCTTAACCCAATTGAAAAAGACTGGCAACACCCAAAATGTCTAAAATGGACCGGCCCAGCGTCCAAATAACCCATGACCCAAACAACCCAAACAAATATTCTCTGCCACATACTCATACCCCTCAAACCATCCCTATTTTCTCGTCGACACTTAGACCTCCCCCAGTCCTCCCTCTCTAACCCTTACGAACTACATAGATCAAAAAATAAGAGACCACCTTCGGACTGCACTGGTAACCCTCCGGCCACAACAATCAAACTCCAAGCCCCCTCAGAGATGAACCAAGCTGCTCGGCAACAACCTAATGGGATGGATCTCGCTCATTCAATGGCCGGAGACACAGATAACATTCCCCCTTCTCGAACACACCGAACCAAAACCTCTAACCCGATCCTTTACATGCACGAACACCACACAACTTCATCTAGAAAGCTCTTTAACTCGCAAACCACACGAAAATATTTTTTACCGGAAATTTCAACCGATTGATTATGTTGCACACGACTTCTTCTCCTTCAGATCTGATTGATTTTTTTTTAATTTTCTTCTTAGAGTAAAACCTTATGGATCAACCCATTTTCAGAAGAATATGTTGTTTTTTGTAAACATAAACACTCAAAATACACCGTCCATAACATTGTAACGATAAAATCCATCAGATCCGAAAGATCAGCTATTTGGTCCGAAAGTCCTTTCACTTACCCGCCTCTTGAGAAACATTAACGCTAACAGAGCACCCCTTATGTTATTCGAAAAACTAAGAAAAATTCAATTTTAAATTAAATTAATGCTGACAAAATCCATCACATCTGCATTTCCTTAACCTTTTTTTTAAAGATTTTGTAAATTGTGCTGCCAAAAGGGTCTGGCCAAACCGATATAAGAAATATATCACAAAATATTTTTTCCATCAAACAGCTTGGCCACAAACTTCACTGAAATAATATTTTTGTGAGGCTATTCACACAAAACGTCTGAATCCATGAGATCTGACGGTAATACATGAAATTTTAAAAATGTGCTGTTAATGGTCGTACCCCAAATTTTATGACATTTAATAAAAATTTAAATCATTATACTTACATTTTTTTAATCATTATACACCCGATAAAATAAATCTCGATCGAAGAAAATATATACCTCTGATTTTTACCCCAAGAGTCCAATTTCTTTAAACATACTCTTTTTTCATTAAATTTTGCGCAGGTGTAATTAATTTTTTTAACCTATACGATAATATATTTTACCGGGTTAATAATACCATTTTAAAATTATTTTTTTGCTTACAAATAAAAACGTTTTCTAATAAAAGTATCATTACACTGGGAACAGATCATTTATTTTGCTAGAATGCCTTTTACTCCGTATTAATTACAGAAGGGTCTAGGGACTTAAAGAAAACTCTAGCAGTCTAGCACTGACATCTGCCAACCTTACCCACCCAACTTGAAAATAGACTGCCCCACCACTTTTATTAAAAACTGCAAATTTCGAACCACCCACCCCTACCCACGCAACTTTAATGCGTCGAAACCCAAACCCACATGTCAAAACTTTATTGTAAACATTAGCTTTGTATGTACTATTACATATCCCAACTCTATATTAAATCCTAACTCTTCTATCTTTAAATGGCATGTACGAGGAAATTGGTTAAAGTACAAACGACACATCTCTCATGAGATGAAGCACAGAAGATGGACATACAAAGCACACGTAACATCTGCAACCTAAACATTATTTGGTATTCCATCTTCAATGCACTTTAACTAATAAAAGTTTACACTACATGTTTACGACTGCACCATAACCGAAGTAAAGATGGATACAAAAAACACCATAAATAACCACGGAAAAGAAAAGGTAATATTGTATTTCAATAAATCATATGTGATTCTTTATTATTATGCATTATCCTGTATGAGTACATAAAAAATTAACAATTAAAAATTATTGTCCCTGGCATGGCACCCCGTATGGAGAAAGGATCACCACCCCCAAGGCGCTGCCTGTAAGGTACGAAAATATATTCATATGTTTATGAAGCTTTTGAATAATTTACATGTCAAATAATTTTATTCACAATTTTTAAATCAAAGAACTACACAATTGCCATTGAATATTTCATTTATGAGTTAAACCCTTGAACGGAAACTTTCGCACTGCGTTACACAGTCAACAATATTTATTATTGAAATAATATTATGATGTTAAGAAAGTTCAGAGTATTAGGAAATAAATCAATTATATTACCTGCCAAAGCGAATATTATTTGGGCAGGCCGCAAATGTTAGTATTCTTAATAAAAACCATTATAAGAGCTGCCTAGGTGAAACTAATTGCCCTTGACATGCCAGACAATCAGGGGGGTGATATATGGTATATTATCTGATAAAAATTGGTTTTTCTTGCACTGTATGAATTCTGCCAAAAAAATGGCATTTGAACTTAATGATTTACTTCAATATCTCATCATTCCTTAATTACCGGCATACAAAGATTCGCATTACTGTTGATCTGTAACGCAGATTTAAACGTTGAACTTGCAGGAATTTGTTCAAAACTCGTTGAAATTCAGTTTTGAAGAGTGCCTCTGTGATGCGTTGCTTTTTTTATTTTTT